CGATTACAAGACCACCTGCTACCAAGAGACCAAAACCGATCACAAAACCACCTCCGACCAAAAGACCATCACCAATTACAAGAATACCTCCTACCAAGAGACCACCACCGATTACAAGACCACCTGCTACCAAGAGACCACCCCCGATTACAAAACCACCGGCGACCAAGAGACCACCACCGATCACAAAACGACCTCCGACCAAAAGACCAATACCGATTACAAGACCACATTGGATTACAAGACCACCACCGGCTACCAATAAACCGATTATAATAAGATGGCCACAGCCAATTAAAAGACCACCTCCATTTAAAAGTCCACCGCCAATTAGAAGCCCACCTCCAATAAAAAGGTCACCGCCGGCTAAAAGTCCTCCTCCGATAAGAAGGCCTCCTCCGATAAGAAGACCTCCTCCAATAAAAAGGCCCACACCAATAAGGAGACCGCCAGTGATAAGACTACCGCCGATAAGGCCACCAATTCGAAGGTTCCGCAGAAAACTTAGATCGTAAAAAGGTCAGAAATATTGGAGAATAAATGCAAATAAATAATTTAGTTAACGAATGCTTTACTATTCGACTTCTATGAGTTTGTAACAATGGTCAGGCCATGTTATTACTCCACCTTACACAGATCATTGATAAATGAAAGTGAAACTAAAAAGTATTCTCCCTAGACGTTAAGTTGAAACGGATTTCGATTGATTATGTTCTAGGAAAAACTTATTATAATTATGATTTATCGGTGTAAATGTGATTACTTCGGCCGTTGGAAGGGAAATCTAATTATTTAGGTATCCAGAGATCAAGTAAAAGTGTTGTAAATACTAACTAATCGTATAAAATTATCTTAAAACTTATCATCTTGCTTGTAAATAATAAGACTTCTACGAGTAGTTCACTTAATTAGTATTATAGAGCTTTCAAAAACATTCTAAAACTTCTAAGAAGAAAGTTTTAAGTTTAACATGCTTACAGTGAGCAATGACAAACTGACAAGTGATCATATGAGAGTTGAAAGTCTATGAAACTTCCACACTTTAGGTCGACTATTTATAAAAAAGAACTAAACCTCTCCAATTTCACTTGGAGTAAACTCAGTCACTTAAATTTGTTATGGCTTTCATGTTTCCAACATCCGGTGTGTTTAATGTGGGTATCTGCTGGGGACAGCCTTACCCCACGGTACTCCAAAACATAGCGGATCAAATCAATGCGTTGATTAGCGTCTGACATTTTCAGTACCACTTGGCAGTGTGGAATGGACACACTAAGCACCTTGGGAGGGTTCAAGGCCAGTTATTTCCGAATTTAGGTTTTGAGCTTAACCACCATGATGCTCCCCGAGGTGCCAGCCCCCTGTGTACAGTCTTTGAGAGAGTAGGTGAAGAAGTAGTGAGCACAAAGAAACTCGAGTTTTCTGTAGAAATTTTTTTCAAGAAGTAGAGAAAACCGATCTGTGAAATGAAGATAACAGATGAGACTCATGTTGAACTCGGTCAAAAGCGTCGAGGCAGTCACAAAGCAAGCGAAAAACAAGAGAAGTCATAGTTAGCTACATAGTTTTAATAATTTTAGGTCCAGAAGAGTTATTTCCAGCAATTTACATTGAATAATTGACTAACTTCCAAGAGAAAAAGTTGAAATATTTTACAAAGCAAAGAAAAAAATCGAAAGCTTGCAAAAGCTCCGCAGCCGTCGACTATTCTTTCAAAGCACATATGTATGTATCGATGTAATAAGTGCCGTTACTGGCCGGCTGTGTTATGCAAATTACCAGTTTGGATTCTTGAATATTTTTTCTTAACCCTTTCCCATTGGCATTGGGGTATGTAAGTGGACATTTTCGACATATTTAGCATTTCAACCGGTTCGCACAGCACGGCAATGAACTCATTCACCCTGCTAAATAGGCAAATCCGTAAATGTCGAAATGTTGGCATACCGACATGCTTTATTGACACCGCTTTCATATGCAAATTTCCGTTAGGGCACCAATGTCGCTGACTAAAGTGAAAATCGAGTAGCGGACAGCGAGAACCTTAAGCCGACACCGGGTCTGCTAGCATACTTTTGCCCATTTAAATCGTACACAGACCTTATTGGCACATTCAAGGATATTATTAAGCGTCCGCAAGTAAGTTGTGCTTGTGCCCATGTGTATGTGTGGTAAAAGTGTCGGGCGGTGGGACGACATTCGAAGGCTGATTTGCATGATTTTTTCCCACAAATTTTGGGTATTGGATATTTCCTATTGTTTACTTAGCGTGGTTGCGTGTGTGTTAGTGTATTTGTTGCTGAGTTGTGTTTTTGCTTTTGTAGGCTCTCTCTTCTCGAGACATTTTTCTTTGACATTGCCTGACAAAGTCTGCATTTTATTCATTTGCATCATTTACATTTTTACCATTCAACGCTCGTCAAACGTTCAACTCCTGCCATGGTGTTGGCGGCATTCACCGAAAACTTTTGACATTTTGTTACGTTTAGATCCACATGTCGGCCCCCACGGAGTCGGGGTTGAGGCTGGTTGCTTGCCGCCACATTACGAACAGCTGTTACACGTGTTCAACCTTATAAAGCACTTGCTGGCAACAAGAATAACAACAGCATGCAATACCAACAAGTAAGGAAGGCCTAAGCTCGTTTGAAACCGGATCCACATTCACCCGTTAACTCAATTTCAATGTATGCGCTTCCAAGAGTTAAAGCCTTCACCTCCTAAACGCGATCAAGAAAAAAGTGTTGAGTTGCTTCCACCTCATCTTCTTCCTTACAGCTTCGGCAGGCAGCGTTCGGAAGGAATCCCAGCCTTACTGCGTGGATGCCTATAGGGCAATGGCCCGTTAAAAGCCCCACTACTAGGGAGAGGCTAGCCTTACTGAGGACAAAAAGATCATTAGATCGCTTGAAATCTATCTTTGGTCAAAAGGATTTTGTGACAGCGCATGTGCTGATGAGGGCTCAGCGGTGGCTAATCTTCCTCGAAGCCCATCTGTCTAGTATCCGTCCTATCCATCCATGTTAGGATGCTTTCCTTGCTAGCTCATCACCTTTGCAGTTTCCTGCGATTCCGCTAGGGCCTGACACATATACCAGTCTTAGCACAAAGACACGATGCTATTGATAGCGAGATTATGCACTCCTTGATCAATCCAAAACGCACTGTTAATGAGTTCAATTCCGCTATCGCCACTCGGCTAACAGAGTGAATGGTCGCTTCTCTGAAGGAGGCGTCACTCAGGACGAGTAGCTACCTTAATGGCTGCAAACTCTGCTTGGAATACACTGCAATAATCAATAAGTCTGAAGCTGGATTTGATAGAGAGCTTTTGACCCATCCGTTACGAAGTTCACTGCCCTTCTCCTCCAACGACTGCTTACCATCCACAACTCCCTCGTCGATTTGACGAATGCGTGATCCAAGTGATCCGGTGTGAAGTCAAAGTATGTGAGAATATCCATATCCTATTCTTTAGATACGTGTTCTTTAAAGAACCCATTGGACGATCAGGAAAGAGTTAATATCTTTATTGTAAAATTTAAAGTCTCTAATGTCCTCCTCAGGTCCATGTTTGTTGAACAAAACTTTTTTACTCCGCGCAACAAGTTGTAAGGGTATAAAAACAATAAAGAGTTCTTTCGTGGCGGTTTAACGTAACCAGAAAAGGTATAAATTGAAATTTGCATGCACAGTTATTCGAGCTCATACATTTTTACATACAAAAATCTAGATTTTCCTGTGGGTTTGTGTTGCTTTTTTTGCCATAAGAGCCTCTAACTTTAGGTGTGCCCCGGTGCCACCGAAAGCACAACCGAATGTTGTTAACTTCAAAAATTCGCTTGTATGTCGGACTGTGCGCACACATGGCTCGCTTTCGGCTGCACCGCCAAAGGCATACGTGGCTGCGGGACTATTTATGCATAGAAAATGTGTGTTTTACTTTCAAATATATGTAAATTGTTTAATAAATTGCTTTTTAATTTAAAGGGCCCTTTTTAATTTAATTTCCATTTATTTAGGGAAAATTTCCATTCATTCAAATTTGGAATTCAATTTTTGCTAATCCACACGCATGCATAACATAGGTTGTCCGATGTGTGGAGACTGTACAACTTTAAAGAGTACAGAGTGTGACTGTAGGAAATTGAAGGGTTAATACAATTGACTGAATCAGGCGATTTTGGGTACCGAATTGAGTATTCTCAAATAAAGTTACAAAAGAGTTCACAGCAAAGTATATGTTATTCACAATCTGGTCTTTGAAACGAGTTAAGAAAATTTTGAATTCGAGTCTTTGTTATTTTTGCAAAAATTGGTAGGATATACCGAAGTAGATGCCTTTTCCTTAGCTCATTTCGAAGAAGGATGTATATAGTATATAGAGGTTTTGTGACAGGTTTGTGACAGGTTTGTGACCAAGGTAGCTTCTCCGTATGCCACACTCAACGTTTTTCACACAAAATTTGATACGGGTTCTTTGATCCATTTTATTGAATAGGTAAAAATCGAAGACGATCCAAAACACGTGCAAGCAAAGCAGCTGTCAAAAATTAAATGAACATTCAAAATGGCCGAGCTTGTCGGCATAAGTGAGAGACATGAGTACCAACATAACGTCACAAAAAATTCGAAATTCGAATATACGTAAAGCGCGAAAATTCAAAATTCGCGATACTTTTTGAACACACCTCGTAACAACAAGCTGGCACTATATAGACAGCTAACGAGCCTGCATCCCTATGCATTACATATGTGTTATGACCAATGAAATCGGGAAGTAATTTTCAAATTATCGCAAAAATTTTACCCTCAATAAGTTTCAACACTTTGATAAAAATTATGTAATCATTGAGTAGTATTATCCCTTGGTATCGGCGAGCAATGTCTTCTGATAATGTATTTTCATACTTGTATCACAATTGTGGGAGTTGGAAATTTCGCAGGTGCTTATCATAATCGTAAAAAACTCTCTCAACGTAGTCGCTGACCGGCACAACATGGCGTCCTCCATCGTGTCATATCAATGGCTGTCGTCTTCAAGTAACTCCATCGTCTCACATTCTTATCAGAAAGTCACCTTTAAGGGTGGTAATAGGTGGTGTAATAACTTGCAGATTTGCCTCTCGAAAATACACGCTCTCGCCGTTCGAGAGAAACTCAGCAAGATGGTTCACTGTTGGCACCCGTTAATGTAACGGTAAACCGACGCTTCGATAATACCCACATATCGGCCCGCCCAAAACATCTGAACATCATCCTTTGGGTCGATTGTGGTGAAAATGATCTGGTCACCACGCCTGACCACGTTTATATTATATTCGCCTTTATAACAGTAGCGTGATTTTATTTCAACGGCAGATACACGACGCCAGAATGACATTTGCCACCACCAGGTTGAGAGTACTTCCTGCTCAGAGGCATCTTTCAACAACAACATCACCTTTTGACCCAAATTAAATATACTACATGCGACTAGTCTTTAGTCTTCAAATGAAAATAATATATATATTTAGTAATATCTCTGTAGACCCTCTAAAACATATTTAAGATCAAGAATTTCAAATACGTGCATAAACCGCTGGAAACATTCTTCGATTACTTTTGTTTTCGTAACCGAAAAATCCGGCTTCTTTTACCAACTGGCGAAGACTCTCGCTCTGAATTCCGGCATAAATTGCTTCCTCCATCGTGTCATACTGAAATTTGGGCAAAATGAAGGTTTCGCCCACACCACACACAATTACGTCGCCATGCTCATTACCAATCATAACGGCAGTGCCAGTCGGTGAAGGTCTAAAAATATTAATTAGGCAGGAATAAATTAAGTACTCGTTATGTACGAGTATTTTCATATTTTCGTATTTGGTTGTGTACTTAAATAGGGTGTTGTGACTCGAGGCGACATTCACGGATTTGATCGGCCGAAATGGATTGCGTATGTCCCATATGTCGAGTGTTTTTCGCGTCAGCGAAAATATTGTGGTTGATTGAGTGGGGCTCCAGGCGGCATAATGTACGGGGAACATTTTATGGGTTAGCTCTAGAAGTGGTTCCGTCACGCCAAGCATCCAAATTCGTACGAACCTTTGAAAGAAGTGTATTATTTACTAGGGGAGAGTTGTAACCGTTATAAATTAAATTGTTAGGTTGTTTATTTGAGTTTGTCGAACTTTTTGTGGACCAAGAACATACGTTGGTTTTCCAAAGAGTTTCTATCCAATTTATAAAACAAGAATTGGTTGAATTGAGTCAATACATACCAATCATTTCCACATGTGAGATATATTTTCGGTGACCACGGCGAAAACTCCATACAGTTGACCGATCCATATATGTGTGTGCGTAATGGCGACGAGAAACTGTGCTCCAGTGTCATTGATCCATTATGTATGCAACCCTGATCGGTCAGCATGTAGTATAAGTCCTTATTCAGCGGATCCAATGTTAAGTTGAAGCAGAACAATGTGCTGTCGGAACGATTATCTAACTCTGGGGCATCTCCATGCAAAGACAAACCTTCGACTTCACCACGTACGCGACTCAAACGTGTCAATTCCGTGGTGAAGACATGTGGACCATTGTGAAAACGATATTTACGTACCACTGCAGTTCGTGAAAGAGTTATAAAGCGCTTGAAGCCTTGAGATGGAAAAACGGGTTTCAAATACCATTTAATTGTCATAACGGGATCATTGCCCGTTATTGTTGATCTATTTATAATTGACAATGGTGGATTATTTTCTACGCTTATATCGCGCACTTCCAGCCAACCATTGGCCATGCCCACTGCGATGAGTGAGTGATCGAAGGGTGAGAATGACACTGCCGTTACCGGAGAGTTGTAGGAGTATGTGCGTTCCGGATGCAGTACATTCTTAATACTCCACACACATACATTGCCAGTCGTTGCCGGTATTTGTACGGCATAGGAGTAAACGCCGTAAGCGATAGCAACAAGATCGGCATTGCCGAAGCAAAAACTTATATCCGAGACCGCTTTACGTGCCTTAATTGGTTGATTCAGATTTTCAAAAGGCGGTTTGGTGAAACGGAAGATCTCTTGTATGTTGTATGTGCCTTTTTCGTGTAAGCCCGTCTGTTTTAATAAATTGCGATAATGCATCTGCCCTCTTATATGCGAATTAATCGAGATTCCACGTTCGACACGCATTACGGCTCTGGTAAAGGATATGTTGTGAGCCAATGCATTCAGACATGTCTCTGCAGCTTTGGACGGGCATTTTATGAGACCGCTGTGTTTTTTCGGTTGTTTATGTGCATGCATTGTCTCATAAATGTCGTATCTTGATGTAAAGTCATTGGAGTCCCTTTGATATATAGGTCCAGTTGCGGCTGCGGCGTTTACAAGCAATACGCTGCGTGTTTGCGCTTCGCTATCTCTGCGTCCGCGCAAGCGTCCCTCACCCATTGTCAGGTAGTCGTATACTAAATTGTCGTCAATCACTTCCGCCGACTCGGGTGTACCCTTTCGCACCGTCTCACTGTTATGTTCATAAAGCATTACAGAATCAGTTGGGCGCAGCACTATTTGAATATAACCGTTGTATCTGTAAATTGTAGAAGACATGGGTAAGACATTTGATAGAGTACCAGTCAGCTCGTTTTCCCGAAAAACCATCGTCATGCTGGGTACCTGAAAATAATAATAACAAAAACTTTTAATGAAAAATTAAACTTAAATATATATCTATATATTTTGAACAATTTGCCTACACACCCCTTCCATGATATCGCTGATGGTTAATTTCAATCCGCCCATAGCTCGGGTACCACGCATCGAACTCATCATGCTGAGATGCTCGGAGATAAAGCTTTGCTTCCCTTTCATCCGATGTATTTCTTTATTCACTTTTGCATACAGGCCTTCGACTAGCTTCCGATACTTTGCCGTTTGCGGCATTTCTTTTGGCATCCATTCTTTGGCTTCATTTAAATTTCTTATATACTTCAATTGGCGCCACTCATCCAATATTATTGATACATTGTAATCGAAATTGGTCGAAGTGGAGGTGCGAATGAGGCGAGTTCCTCGTCTCGTATTCTGCAAACATTATTTTTCTAAGCTGGAGAATTAAATTTAGTTATCTAATGAAAGCTTACTTGCTCTTTACCATTCTCCATTTTAGCTTTTGTAAGTAATCTTAAATGAATTGTTCAATAGTTTGAAGAGTTGCTCAACAAATCTGAAAGAGAATTATTATTCCGAAAATATTTTCAGCAAATGATAGCTAATCCGTTTCATTACTTGAACTGATTAGCATGTTTAATCGCTTTAGGAATTCAAAGTGTTTATGGGAAAGTAGAAATTTATCAAAATATACAAATACTTCTAAATTAAAGAACAAAAAGCGACAACGCTACGAAAATACAAAAAACCCTAAAAGAGTTTGATTGTTTAGTTTATATGACAGCTATATGCTATAGGGATTTGTTACCAGATATCGACCCCGACTAATTATAATGATATTGTATGAAATTTGTTAATTTTATACTCCTTCCATTTCTAAGTCTATCATAATCGCTTCCATCCAATTACTAACTCGTTATCTTTAGGAGTAAGTAAAAATATCCTTTGAAAAATATATAAAATAAAAAAATCTTGTTTACTAAAATTTCAAATAGAAAACGAAATCATTGGCTTTGTATTTGTATTAAGCTGGAATTTCTGGATTTAAGCTTTCAATCAACTTTGTTTGAGTTTGAGACGAGAATTCAGTTTAGCTTTTATTTTCTCGTACTTTCTAATGCATTACGTTGTCAGAACAGAATAGGAGAAAGTGAGGAGGTATACATTTTATTTTTAACATCAATTTTCACTAACTTTGTTGTACAAGTAGTGTTTAGATACGTACAAGTATATGCTTGACTTGTCGGACTTGATGGAAAAATACTTTATGTTACAGGTACAATACAAAACATTGAGTTGAATTAACGAAAACATTCAAGTTTTTAATATCCATACGATAAAATTTGAGTTTTATTTACTTTGTGCTTTCACAGTTTAAAGAAACGCTTTAAGAAAATTGCAGAACCTTTAAATTGTTATAGCAAACTGTATAGTTGTTCCTTTAGTATGCAGTCTTACCCTCTTACGTCACATTAAACAAGCCGACAGTGTAAACAGCAAGAAGGAAAAAACCGCAATTGATGCACTAAGGATGGGGGTTTTGACTGTCTTGATTACGAATTTGAGTTAAAAAATTTTCCACAGCACATACAGCTACTAGCTTTTAGTAAATGGCGGTGGGTTGATCCCTACACCGCTTAACTAAAACACAAAAAATCCTACATGTTAGGTTGTAACAATCGAAAATTAGCAGAAAAACGGTGGCGACATAAAACTTCTTTGAAACAGTGCGATAAACGTCATATTGTGAACTCGAGAACTAGACGTTAAATACCGGGTTCTCCAATAGAGATGATATGATTCCTAAGTGTCGTTGCAGCCATTTTTAGAGTGTCATGATTTGTAATTTTTTTTTCATTGTATTCAGTAAAGTTTAAAATTTCATCGTGAAAAAAATGTACACAAGAAAAACGACCTTTGCCATTTTATGGTCGTAATAAATGAACACCTGTGCCCGCTTTTCGTCGAATCGTTGACAATTTCGAACATACTTTTTGTTTACATAACGATCAAATGTCAATAAGACAAAGAACCGCTTGATGTAATGAAAATGTTGCTGCCATTTAGACAAGGGTTGCTGAAGACCGCAATTTGCCGATTCCAAGACGTTCTCAAGAATTGGGACTGTCTCAAACGATGATAGCGGTTAAAATTTCAAGTATATTAAGAATAAACAATCTGAGGAATGTTCTTTGGAATGATAATAAACATTCCCTATTCAATTTGAAGTTTCTGTGGATGGATCACCCTTTATAAGGCGGTAAGGTAATTCCTGGACCGATTTCAAAAATTTTCCTCATAAAAATTGCATATCTGCAGTGTTATATTCTCTCTTAATTTTCTTAAAATGCTTTACATATGGACCACTATAAACGGTATAGAGTCGACCGGAACTTTAAAATTCTTATGATAAGTCTATGGGAGCTAGTAGTAATATTGACGCGATTTTATCCATTTTTGGCATTACGAAATATCATTTAGGTAAAAAAAAAGTATCTGAGATTCACTGAAATTCCTCACATTCCATTAAAAATATATATGGTGTAAAATCAACCGGATGTTTTAAAATCCTGATATCAGTTATGTTGGGTCAAGTTTTCGCCCGAATTTCAAGCATAAGGAAGCACTGTCACTGGAAAGATATTCTAGCTGAATTTCACTAAGATCGATATAAAGGGTATACTATCAAATGGAAGTTTGAACATTTTCCTTACCTTTACCTAATTTGGGCATACATGCAACCAATTTTGAGAAAAGGATTCTCAAAGTCTACCGATATTTTCGGTAACAAATTAGATAAATTATTTGGAGTTGATATATTCGTTTTCTAGGCGCATTGAAAGTTATGCCCAGATTTTAACAAATTTTAAACTTGAGATGTCATATCCTAATGACAGTATTTGTGCGAAGTTTTATCCCGATATATTTATTGGTGCTTGATTGTTTAATAAAATAATGTTAGGAAAATCTTCTAAGTGGAATTTGTTTGAAAGGGGTCGAATCATTCTTAAGGTATTAAAAAACACATTAGAGTAGGTAATGCCACGCCTGTTGCCCAATTTTGATGTCGGCTCCTATGTTGTTCTAACGTAGCGTCGTGGTTGTAAAATTTATTAATGAGCAAAAGATCGTTCATAGCTTTAAAGATCTTAAGTTTTTCTTCAAAATGTATACAAAAAAAAAAAAAAAAAAAAAAAAAAAAAAAAAAAAAAAATTATGAAAATTTGTGGAAAAAATTACGCAGAAGCTATGCATTATTGTGGTACAAAAATCCCTAGTAGTCAATTCATAATTTCGGCCTCCTTTTGCGAATAGCTTCGCGCCTATGACGTGCTCAAATAGTATTCCTTGTTGACAGTTTGGCCGGTCAAAAGAAATTCGGACTACAGCGCTCCTTGATAATTGAAGAAAACAGAACCCTGATTTTTGATCTTCCTTGACGTGGGTTTTTCATCTTCGGCTCAACTTTGTCACGATATCCAGCCGTGTAATCGTCTGTTTCTGGTTCGTAAATATAGATCAAATACTCATCACCAGTAATAATACGTTTCATGACATCCTGGTAGTCGAAAGGCATTGTAGTCCGATTATGCCTATCTGCCATACCAGTCTATCCTGTACCAAATTTAGTTAATATAAAAATTTAAGATGATATTTGATCTGAGTCGTTTACCTCAGCACTTCCGTTAGACAAAAAATACCCGGAAATTTTAAATAAAACGCAAAATATATTATTTACTTCTATACATATGTATGTATATTTATATATTTCCATTATATATTTATTACTTTCTTATATAGAGGTATGCGATATATTTTATCTCTTCGCAGGCGCGGCAATAAAACCAAAGAATCATATGCTAACATACACACACATACATCCACAAAACTACACCAGCCCAACAGCTGTCAAGTTGGCAGTTACAGCGCCAATAATACCAACAGCGGCTACTCCGGTAATGTAGGCTACGCAAACCCTAAAAAATTCAGTGAATTCAGTGCTCAGCACAGCAACCAAGCCACGAAAAGCGCACACACACCGCTGCAAAATGCAGAAAAGGAATAAAAGTAACGGTATTGGCATATCGTGGATAATAAATATCGTCAATATAACTTGCGCAAAAGCCGCCGCCGCTTCCACCGTGGTCCGCAAAACGAAGAGGCAATCTTCGATCACATAAATGTATATAAATGTATTACGGTGATATATATGCGCGTGTATGTGTGTGTGTGTGTATGTGACGACTTGCCGACTTGTAAGCGTTGGGGACGCTTTATAGCCCGCTTTGCTTTGCTTTTGCTGATTTCCCCCCTTAAGCAGACGCTTCGATACACTTCGTTGCATAGTGAGTGGGCTTATCTGCAGATCTCAGCTTGTGACTGTGTGCGTTTGTAGGTGTATGTATATATTTATATATGTTGTTGTTGTTTTTTGTATTGATACTGTTGCGTTGCGCACCTTCCTTGTTGAGTTTTTATGCTCGCGTTGCTGGTATTTTGTTGATGTTGCTTTGCATAGTTTAAGGCGCCCATACAATGTACACATCACACACATATCAACAGACTTCCTTCCACGTCACATTACATGTTTGTTGCGTGTTGCGTGTATTGAGAAAATTGCTTTTGGTTGGCTTCTTGCATTGTTGACATTCCATACAGCACACCAACATACACACACCCCAGCGCACAAATGTCGCTGCTTGCCGCCAACTTAACAACTTACTTTATTTGCATGCGCATTGACATGATGAAGATTTCGTTGTCGTTGTCGTGGTTGTTGTTTTTATTATATTTTGTTGCGCTGGCAAACACACTCGCAGATGATCGAATAAGTGGAGATTGAGACACCTTAAAATGGGATAAAGCGTAATAAAAAAGCGCATAAGTAGCGTGTATAGCGTGAATAAAAAAGAAACCAGAATCACACACAATGCCACACAATCGAAATCGGCGGGGGAGTTACCAGTGGGTAACTGGTGTTGGTGTGCGCTTCTGGCATTGGCAATGCGCGCATATTTACATATTTACCGTAAGTAGTTGTACAAGTGTGCGCGTGTGTTGTTGTTATTATTACCATTCGCGTCTCAAAGGTGGGCAAACAATAAATTGCGGTGTAAAAATCTTCGTGTGGATATTGTTGCCTTATTGAAATTTTTCGGTAGATAAACATAAAAATGCGTTGAGTAGCGTTCAATACTTTTCTAGCGCCAATAATAAATTTCAAAGTGGAAGAAATCCCTGGTGATACGCTCCATGTATTTGTGCAAATAACGGTGCTTTGCGTATGGAGTGTGACTTAATAGATTTTTTTCGCCTCGCGTAAATATTGCAATAATAAGCGGGATTTGAAGTATTAATTTCCTGCAGGCGAACTTGAGTACATAAAATATATGTAAGCCGGTTGAAGGTTTATTAAATAACCTCAGCGCTTTAAATCTGTGACACTCGTAAAAGCAGTATATTTTTGTATAGAAAATTTTGTTGAGAATTTCCGTGTCTGAAAATTCGCTTGGTATCGAACGGGAACAGCTCAAAAAGGTTCTTCCCGATCCTGAC